TCTAAAATTGGTACCGTTAAGTACCGGTATCGATTCCTAGGTACCGAGAATTTGTACCGATTCGATTCAGATGTCAAAGGTACCCATCCCTAAATTCGCGACTGCTTCCACAGCGAGTCATCAGCGTCAAAAAGCGTCCACAGTAACATTAATAACATAAAATTTTTTATTCTATTAAGTTCATCATAATATATTTATCCATCGAGAGCACAAGAGCAGCTGCGTGATGTAAAATTAGGCATTCAATCAAATCAAATCAACTTTATTTATACAGCACTTTTCATACAAAAAAAATGCAACTCAAAGTGCTTCACAGATTAAAATGGCCCCATAGATCCCATATTCCCATCCCGGCCCCCCTCCCCAAGTATAGAACAATCGACAACTACACTTCCCCTCCCGCAACCATTTTCCAAGGTGAACGTACACTCACTCACCCACCCACCCACCCACCCACACACACACACACACACACACACACACACACACACACACACACACACACACACACACACACACACATGAACAACAGAGTAAACAATAGGCTGAGTTCAGATGGGTCAGGTAATGGATGACACATCATCAGCGGAGCCATCTGCCCTGACAGTAACAGATCCACAACAGCAGCCAAGACACCGGCTCATGACGCCCAGGGAGGGAGGGCAGAAACCCCCACCACTACCCGTGCACTACCCGAGGAGCGCCCCGTCCGCCGCCGCCGACCACTGGCCCCAAGGCAGAGGGCTCCGCAGAGGAAACACTGGAGGATTGAAATATATAACTGAAATAACAAAATCTAATATGGATAGAAGGTAACTGATAAAAAGTGATTATAAAGATAGTAAAAGAAAACAGAATCGTATAAAAACACTAAGATGTAAATAAAATAATAAAATTAAGTAAAAGAGATAAATAGGTTTATATATAAATAAAAAAATAAGACAAGAGATACAGTTAAACAGACTAGATAAATAGCCCTGAATTCAAATGACCTGAAGAAGCTCAGTTATTTACGGTCCTCTGTGAGACAACAAAGCATCACGGATGGAGTCGTTGTGGGGGGATTCTTCCGTGTTTTCTGGTGTCGGGAGTTTACAAATGGTGATTTTAAGCGTGATCGGTTCTCATTCTCTTTTGCTTCCATTCTGCCTCACAAGCACCTCTTGTAATTTTACCACTACCAATGTTATGGGCGACATCTGCTGAGGTCATTTCCTGCTGAATTACAGCCAAAAGTTCCACTCTGCTACTTCAGAGTACCAAACCCTGATCAGGAGCTCTGAAGTTCCTGAAAACAGCCCGGAAAAAGACAGTTTGGCCGGCCCAGTCCAGTGGAGACATGCATAAGCCGGGAACTTCCAGTAAATTTACTTTAGAGTTCCAATAGTAAAAACGCACTAGTGGGATAGCGAGGAACCTGCATGTGGTGGCTTTGTGTGGAGTTCTGTTTCAGCTTGTATCCCATTGGTTTGTGGCAGTTAACAGCTGGCTAGAGGCACCAAATCTTAACAAATATGCTCATTTCCAAGTTTAAATCTTAACTTTTGTAAGTAAGGCCTTTAGCGAGACATTTCAGATACAGTTGGGTCACATGGGCACATCATGTGATTGAAAGGTTTCGATAAGAATTATTTTCTTTCTCTCAAAGTGATCTCACATTCCTCACCCCTCTAACTCACAGAAATGAAATGCGGGTGAGATTGAGAAGTGTAGAGTTGCATCGACACGACGAGGCCCTGTGACTCATGTCACCAGTAAAGCTTGGTTTATGCTTGATGCGTCTGCGAGGTTCGCACGGCTCCGCGCGGCAAAATTGCGTCATTTTAACAACCACGCCACTCCACCGCGCCTCCGCACGGCCCAAACTTTCCGCACCGCGCACCTAGGAAATTTTCTAACCACGAGGACGGTCAGACGCGGAAAAACATGGCGGACCGGCAAGAACTAGCATGGCAGGAGTTCGTAAATACAGACATTTGTATGATTCAGCTCTCAGAGATCACCGTGATCAACATGTTGTTAATAATTCTTGGAGAGAAATAGCTCGCACTGTCGGAAAAGACGAGGACGCTGTTAAAAATGCTGGAATGCCATGTTGTAAACAACAGTAATTTTTACTTCTACTATGGTGTAGTGTTGGATGCATGCCGTAGAGCTCCATGCTGCCCCCTACAGTTTGGGAGAATATTGGCTCACCGCAGAGACAAGCCGCATGAACCATAAACGCTGCAAGTTGTGAAGCGCGTTCCGTCCGCGAGCCGCATCACCAAGCGGAAAGTAAATGCGTCAACCATAAGTCCCAGTAGAGACAACCTCTTCAGTGCTGTTCACCATTTGTCATCAACTGTTGCTGCTCAGTTAGTAACATAATGGCTGGATTAACCGTACATCGTTGTGAGTGATGACACTAACCTGATGCTCGGCTCATTCTACGGTGACCGTCTTGTTGATTTAGGATTGTCTTACGGAGATCATTCCACTTACAGGTACTCCCAGAAGAGATAGGCATTCTGACACATGACGATACATCATCAGCAAAAGATGGCAGCAAAAAGCGCAGGCCTGATGACCAGCCAATGACGCTGGTTCCCTTACAGCTGCCCGTTCAGAGTTCACTCACAACACATCGAACGGTTACTCCGGTCTTCCCCACAAGTGAGAAGGCCTCATGGGTAAAGCCGGACATGTCCAAGTGGGAGCTGTTTCCAACAGCGTCACCGTCTAGTGAGATGTCCTCTCCCCTGTCAGACCGGTCTTCAGTCCCACCAGAATACGAGGCAGTTGTTTCAGAAGATCAGAGACCATCTGGATGTAGCCACGTCTCATCCAGTGATTGTAGTCCAGCGGCTCCAGTGTCTCCAGTATTCAGCGATTCTGGCTCATTGCAGGTTGAGGCTCAACACACCATGGACAGAGTTACCGATGAGAACTGGCAGTTTTCCCCAGACTTTAAAAGAGTCCTCTCAGAATTTGAAAGAACTGCATCAGAACTTGCGTCCCAGGTTCCGAGCACCAAGCTGAAGAAACGGAGAAAGGCCTCCAAATCTCCACAGCATTCAGATTCAGATGTGGAATTCTTTGACTGTAAGCAAGATCTTTCAGAATCAGACGATGTGAAAGCAGAACACAGAGCTGCTTATCGTATCTCTGAACCCCTGACCCCCAGACTGAGCACACCTGATGCTGGGCTCGTGAAGGGAAGCCCAGAGTTTGCCATTCAGCCTTTCCTTGTGGTAGAGGATCACAGGAGGTTCTCCTCTGACAGTGAAAGTCTTGGTGGGTTTGCCTATGAGTCAGAGGCTTCACAGGAAGACGCCATAGAAGGTGTCCCACCAACATGTGAGGAGCTTCCCTCTAGGGATCAGGCAGGGTATTACGATGACGACGACTTCCTGGGAAGGGTAAGAGGCTGAGCATGAGCGTGGTGCTGCACTAGCTGGGGGCAAACTGACTGCCAGGGCCCTGCATTTATTAACCAGGAGGCTAAAATAGGTTTTAAGACGCTGAAACGTGCTTTTGTGTGCATGAAGGTCAAAAGTCAACGAGAAGAAAAGAGAGAACTTAACAGAAAAACATCATTTGTTGTGTTGTGATGAATTTGCAGTTTCGTTTTACAAACAGTGATAAAAGCTTCTAAAAGGGTCGTGTCAGACCTTTTTTCATCCGTAGATTTCTGCATGTGTGTGAACTCAAGACCCCGACTCACTCCTCCGTTCTTCTTCCGTTTCTGTTTGAGCTCCTCCGCATGATTGCATCACCGTTTCTTCTCTTCATCTCACATCACTTCCACCTTTAAAGGGACATTATGGAAGTTAGACAGTCAAAACATGTATAGAAATAATAAATGTCTTCTTCATACATTCTCCTGCAATGCCCTGGTCCTGTAGAATGAGCCCTGGCATTTTTACTGTGATTGCCTGTTTTTCTGTAAAATCACAGAAAAAGAGAGATGCTCGGGTCGAGCAGGCTGCTTCATGCGCGTTCACGCTCAGGCATAGCCCGTAGCATTTGCTATCCGTAGCTTTAGCAGCAGAGAGAGAGGCAGTGCCACTTTGTCGCTGTTCCTAACGCCTAGTGACAAAGCTAGCTACATTTCTGAGGACCCTTAGCTACTTTCTGTAGAACTTTCTTCTAGATATTTCCTGCAAATTAGCAACAAAATAGCCATTTTCACTCCGAGCCGTTCTTTGAACGTTGCTTCAGCTGTCATCAAGGATATAAATGTTACAGATACTGTGAATGCTACTAGAGTGTAGCTCACCTAGTAAGACATCGGACTCTCGTGCAGAAGACCTGGGTTTGATTCTGGATGTGAACATAGTTCATTTAGAGTTTCTTTTTTACATTAATGGTATATTTTTTTACAGTAAGACGCCCAAATTTTTATTTGAGACTCACCGAACGGCATTGAATTCACAGATAAAAAAGATGTGGGTTCAACTTTCATTTTGGAACAATTTTTCAAGCAAGGGAAGGGAATGATCTGAGCATGCAGGAGGACTGACCCATCATAAACCTTTGTCGGCTGTGCTGAAGAGAAAGGTACAGAACCAAATGATTTAATTAATTAGCTGCACGTTCTCCTGTCCTCCGGGCCCCACAAACACACACACACACACACACACACACACACACACACACACACACACACACACACACACACACACACACACACACACACACACACACACACAAGGGACTGTCTCAGCTGTTATTTTCGTTAAGGAGTGTGCACGTACAGCATGCGCGCCTCGTGCACGAGCCTACTATTGAAGCTGCCGTGTCGCTTTTGGCCTGAGGGGGCAATCACGAGCATAAAAATTCAAAAGTCTGTAAAGTCCCTTTAAACCTCAATTTGATTTCGTTCTGAGATTGATTTTTTTTATGTCTGGCAAACGGAAAACAGAAATGTGAGGTTACGAGAACAGCTGGAGCACTTTTGTGATGAAACTGTGCAAACCCAGAGGAATGACCCGTGCTGGTTGTGTGCCGTCTCCCAGGAGTTAGCAGAGGAGCTAGGGATGCCGTCTTCTGATAGCTCAGAGGAGGAGGTGCTGACTACCAGGGTGGTCCGACGCAGAATAATCATCCAGGTAAAATAAAAGCATGATGCAGCTCAGCAGTGGGAAGGAGGAGTGGCTGGAGGAGTGGTTGTTGTGGGTTTTTGGGGACTTGACCTTTGAGGTTAAGTTTGAACAAGAGAACAGCTCGAATGTTCATTAGATACAAATGATTTAGTTGAACGTGAGTAAAGGACACTTGTGAACAGAGAGCATCAGAGCCATGTTATGTGTGATCACACTCACTCCTCACTGTGTCCTGCTTTTATCTGATCTTTCTGGTTTTGGAGGTCATGATTTTACCTTTAGGCTGTAAAGGACAGAGTGGATGTTCTGGTGCTGCTTAGTGTAAACTGAGTTATTATACTGCTCTAATCATGTCGCAGGGCACTGATCACGTCTGATTTGTGTTTTTTCAGGCAGATCATCTGCCAGACATCCCCCCACGGACCATCACCGAGGAGAAGTACACAGATGAGCATGGAAACATGGTGGTGAAGAAGGTCAGGACCAGTAAAAGACTAAAGGTCCAAACTTGTGAATCACAGCAGGGCTTTAACAGGGAACTTCCTGCTCCCTTCTCCTCCAGATCACACGGAAGGTTATCCGTAAATACGTGTCTCCAGATGGCTCTGAAACACAGGATGTGACCATCGAGGGCTCTCACCAGGAGAGTGTGGCCGTAGAAGAGGGAGACAGGGTGTCCAGAGTGGTGAAGAGGACCGTGCTTCACAGTGAGGGAGAGCAAAAAGAGGTGGGGTCAGAGTGCTGAATCTCCTGCATCAGCTTCTGATGGAAAATAGACAGTGAAACTCCAGGATTTGAAAGTGCTGATAGATCTACGTCAAGTGGTCGCATGGACTCACCCATACTGGCTCGTGACGGGGAAGGCCGTTGTTGTTTTAGCGTCCAGAAACAGCAGAGGACGTCTCGGCTAACCCAAGTTAGCGTTAGCAGCTCGGCCACATGGCAGAAGCTCCTCCAGGCTTGAGTTATAGTCAGTAGGGCTGGGCGGATCGATCTAAAATATCAATAGTATCGATCTAACGTTGGTATTGAGTATTTATTAGATACCCATGTGATGGTATCGATTCAGTTTCTTCTAGCCTGGCAAGCCATGACATACTCACCGCTACAGATGTCGGTCAACGAGGCAGTCCACCAAACTCCGTCAAAGAAGATGCAAAACACATCCTTTTCCTAAATAAACGTTAGTACTTCTATCTGATCTTGACTCAAACAAAAGCCAAAGTCATAATAGTCCAAACTTGACGCCAAAGCCGTTTCAAACGAGCGGCTGACCGCCGACTAGTCACGTTTGTTTATTTTTCCCCAATAACATCCCGCCTACTTAGTGTTGCGATTGGCCCATGAAATCTATAGAGCGCCATGATTGGACCACTACAGAACGGCAGCCATCTTGATTTGTAGTTTACCTGGCTGATACCTGTGATTGGACCGTTTCGAGTGGCAGCCAGGTTTGTTTGCAGGGACTTCCCGTCTACCTCGCTAAAAGAGCGCTGTGATTGGCCCAAAAAAAATACCTTTAAAGCACTGGGATTGGAACGCCACGGATGTCAGTCAACGGGGCAGTCCGCCGTTACATAAAACAAAGTTACAGCGCTCCAGCACGAGACGAGAAAATCTTGAGCTTGTTAACCATTTTTAAACCATTTTGAGTTTCCTAATACAATTTTTATTTGCCTGAAAATGTTCCCTGTATTTTATTATCATCATGATTTATTTAAGGAAAACTTACCAAATAATTTAAACTTGACTTTTCAGACAAGATTCTCATATTGATGATGAATACATCATCAATATGAGAATCTTGTCTGAAACTCAAGTTTTATTGATCTTATTTATCTTAATAAATCCCACAAAACTAGATGGTACTAGATTAGTAGTAAAAAGTATCGGTATTGGTATCGGTATCGACAATACTAGCCCCTGTATTTACTTGCTATCGGATTGATACCAAATTTTGCAGTATCGTACAGCACCAATAGTCAGTACTGTTATCCAATCACAGGAGAGATGTCCAGATATCAGGAAATCAGACTCCAGACCTCGTCGTGTTAAGGTCTCCTCTGATTTAGCAGACTCACCTGTCCTGAAACAGGTGAGTCTGGGCTCTTTTTCTGCCCTGAGTTTGGCTTGCAAGGCATTCATTCGGAGTTTCCCACACCTTTAATGTATCAAACATACTTCAGAGTTGCAGGAAAACATCTTAACCCCCTGGAGGCAAGCATTGCAGATTTGCAACGTTAAAACATACCTACCTGGTTACTCCACAGACGTACTTCATGAGTGTTTTTTTTACTCAGAAGTACCGCTGAAGGACTTAGTTGTTCGTCCTTTTATCCAAACTTATTTTGAGCCTGAGAGGGTTAATGTCTGTTGTGTAAACAGAACCAAGGTGTAAATGAGAACTGAGCTCTTGGCCCGACAGTGGACCATGAGACCTCACTAACCTGAAGGAACAACTGTGATCACCAAAATCTTGACAGTAAACTAAAATGGAAACAAGTATTTGACCCAAATCCTCCTAAATAATACTAACAGGTCTGAGTGAACAGAAGAAGCCGACATCCTCATGTGAGACAACAGGGCAGGTGGGTTAGCTGCAGCTCAGCTGAAGGGAACCTTGTGGGGCGGCTCTGAGCTGATGTGGTCTTCTGAATACTAAATACAAACTGGATGGGACGCAGGACTTAAACACGTTGTCGTGGGTGTTTTTTTTTTTTACAAGTGTGTGGCTGTGGGTTTGGTTAAAAGGAGACATTTCTCAGGTATTGGAGCCATTTTGCTTTCCTTGACGTTGGATGTGCTACTACTAGTTTACCCGTTTAATTATAGATCCACTAGGATAAATACAATAAAGTTTATCTCTCACCAAATAGAATATTTACTAAAAAATCACAATGTAACCATAGACACATTACTTGGTGTGTGTGTGTGTGTGTGTGTGTGTGTGTGTGTGTGTTCGTTCCATCGTTACAGCAGCCTTAGAGGCCATTCTGAGTCCTATTTTCACACCAGGAGGAAATGATGTGAATTTTATTGGTTCTTTGATGTTTACGTTTTATATTGTGATACTGATGCTTCTCCCTCAGTTTTATCCGATTCCCTCCTTTTCTGTGTTTTTAAATTACATTTTAAGCAGAAATCATCCAGAACGAGTTTGTATTGCGAGTCCCGTTGTTATTCCCATGTGTGTGTATGTGTGTGAGTGTGTGTGTGTGTGGGGACGTGTGCGCTCTGTCTTCTCCATCCCCAGTGAGTCGTGGAGGATGGCTGCTTATACTGAGCCAGGATCCTCTGGAGGTTTCTTCCTGTTAAAAGGGAGTTTTCCTCTCCACTGTCGCTATATGCTTGCTTAGTATGAGGATTGCTGTAAAGACTCTGACACTAGTCAGCGACTTGATGCAACCTGCTGGGTTCCTTATATAGGGAACTTTTTACTGATTGGCTTAATGAACTGACCTGAATTGGAATGTTTATTATGTGAAGGTCCTTGAGACAACTCTTGTCGTGATTTGGAGCTTTATAAATAAAATTGAATTGAATTTGTGGAAAGCTGTCCCATAACGTGTTTTTGTTCCATTCCAGCTGACCTTCTCTGAACCTCTGGCCCTGGGCTCTGCCACCGCGTCAGAGTTTGAGGTGGAGCCTGTACAGGGTCGAAAGGTCAGCAAGGTGGTCAAGATGACTGTGGTGAGAGGCGAGAGGATGGAGAAGCAGAGGGGTGACTCATCACTGGCTGCAGATCTCCCATCAGCCCAAGAGGACTTTGAGAAGGTCAGTGTGTCCAAACGGGGGAAACAAGCTTCTGTCAGGAAGTGGGTTAAGATGTTGGTGGAGCCATGATGGTATGGTCTCTGCCCCTCCTTTCCTCTTCAGGCTTTGAGTTTTGTTGGAGGTTGTGGGAAGGTGCTCCTGCCTCATGTGGTCGAGAGGGAGCTTGTGCAGGACAACGGTTCTGTGATTAAAAGGTTGGACTGCATGGTGGTGTGTGTAGACAGGCTGAAGCAACACATTCTCACACCCGAAGCCTGGAAAACCAGCGTTTGTTTCCTTAGGGAGCCCCAGCTGTGCCAGAGCGTTGGTTTTCGACTGCGGCGGTAAAACGGAGATTTCACCCAATTCTGACCTTCCCCTCACCCCCATCCCAACCTTTACCCTCTTGCACTTGCAAAACTTTGTTCCTTGCGGTGTAAGGGGTTAATTTACATCTGATTAATGGCCATAAGACATGAGATTCCATAATGAATATGGAATCAATCTTGTGGACCTTTGGGTACTTTTAACCAGAAGATTGGAACTTTTTATTGCAGGGATTATGTAACACTTCGTATTAACTGAGAGACAAGAGAAGAGAGAGTCACCCTTAAAACGTTTAAGAAGATTTATTTCTAAACAATTTTAAACAAGACTAACTCTAAATTCTAAGTGAATGGATGGATCTTGGTGTGAATGAGACGTGAGATGGATGGTGTATGTGTGAGTGATGTTGTCATCAGAACTCTCGTATCCGGAGAAGCAAGTCTGAATGATGTTGTGATGTTTTGCTCTTAAGCTATGATCGGAGTTTCATAAACACATGAGACGCCATGTTGTCGCTCCACACATACCCTTAGAATGAGACCTCCGTACGGATCCAGAATGCCAGGTCCTCAAACCCCCCTTTTGGTACCGGAGCCGATGAAACAGCATTAGCTGTACGACAGACTAGTCTTTGGATTGTCTCCAGGTAAAAAGCGACAGTTGGTTGACAGCGTCAGATGGACCCGGAGGGTCAGTGAGTTCAGCTTTTATTCTGAAAGGAACCATTGCTTGGTTGGTAAAGTGCAAGATTTTATCCAGCTTGTTGGTTCTTTGCTTAAAAAGGAAGTCCGGGTGGCCGGTCCGATACTTCTATTAGAATGCGGTGAACTGCGGTGAACTCGGAGAACTGAACAAAGATGGCGTGGGACTGGTTTTATTAATCTGGATGTTTAGATTTCTGGTCGAATCAAAGTTGGCAAATTTTATAAACACCACAGAGACTATGCCACGCTTCAGAAAGGAAGGTTCTGATTGGATGAGTAAAAGCAATGTGTCATGCGTTTACATTACGTGTGATCAGGATGTCTAGTGCAGCTAGATTAAAGTCATATTACTTATTAAAAGTTACTAATCATAAAAATTGTCATTTCACTGATTGGTCAACATCTTATTATTGACTAACACTTTGTTTGATTAGCTTTATTAAAATAGAGTTCTTTGATTTATTAAAAGAAAGAGTCCTTTGTCTTCATTCTTCTCTTGGGCTGGAAAGGAAGCAGTTTAGAAGCGAATGCATGACCTTGAGGCAGTCTCATGCAGACTAGTTCTGTGTCAGAGGCATCTGTGGAGAGAAGGTAAATAACCTTCGGTGGAATAGCTCCTTCATCACGTTACAGTGGTAACGTCCCTCTCAAACACGGTGAACGGGAATCTTAGAACGAGAAACAGGGTTAAGGTTAGGATGGGGGTGAGGATAGAGGTTAAATGTGGGTGAAAGGCGCGTTTTACCGCCGGCGTCAGAAAACGACACTGACACTCGGGAACCCCAGCACATCAGAAACTAACGCTTGGTCACCCATCGTCAGTTTTTGACGCTTCGGGTGTTGGCTGAAGGCATGGTGTGAGGTTCCTCCTGCACTCCAGCCCACGTCTTCAGTGGGTAGATGGCAGATAGAGAACGCAGGGCTGCTCTAATCACCGTGGTTTGTTCAAGATTAACTAACATATCAGGATCCCTGAGTTCTAACTCCTCTGCTTTCACTCGCTTGGTCAAGTTCACCCAGAGACTGGTCTGCTGCATTTGCTGTTCTGGTCCCACTAAAAGGTTCACGCTGCATTTAGACGTCAGCAGAGTCTTGATGAATGTGTGAACTGGATTTGGTCCCTGTACACAGATGTGCTGCAGCTGGACGATGAAAAGATGCTTACTAATGTTTTGTTTACATGATCAACAAAAAAATCAAGCTTGTTCATGTTAGGATAATTAAATATTCAATCCTGTACAGAGTCGAGTCACATCCCAAAATTCCAGTTTGGGAGGAAATGCAAATGCTGCTTCATTAAGGATTGAAGATCTGCAGAAACCTAGAGTCTCAGTCCTTTTCATTTTAAATATTTTTTACAGCCCAAACCTGCAAACTACAGACCGTGTACATTAGAATATTCAAACCGATGCAGGAGAAGTTCTGTAGAGGATCAGGGAGCAGGGAGAGCATTGGTCGGTTGTCTCTTTGGACCCGCTTCCAGCTCCTGCAGGAAGAAACGGCCGTCAAGAGCTGGTGCCACATTACAGATCGTAGAGAGTAGGTCAACAATAGAGATCAGAAGCTGAGGGTGATCATGCTGATTCATTCATCCTCTCATCGGCTGTGCTGCCCGTCTCCCTGGACACAGACTCTGAAGAAACTTGAATAATTACGAGCTACTAACTCACGCCCTCTTCTGGGATTATTGATGCATTCGGTGTGTTAAAGACAGACTCTGATTGGTTGTTGTTGCTCCTGCAGAAGTCAGATGCGTAAGTCGCGGACCCAGAAGAGGACCGTGGTGAGGGATGCCCAAGGGAAACACGTGCACCTGGAGCGTCTGGACGACACCCCAGATGCCCTGCAGCCCGACGCCCTGCAGCAGCACCTGCATCGATTGCTTCAACGCTACTGCGAGGAGGAGGAGGAGGAGGAGGAGGAGGAGGAGGAGGAGGGGGGAACTGACTGAGCAGCTACTTCCACTGATCCTCCTACATCTTCCACAGAAACCTTCAGCGATGTTCTCCCCCTTCTCTTGCGGTTTGTCGACAACCCAACGGCTGTTTGGCGCTTTAACATGTTCTTTTGCTCCGATTGTGACCAAAGAAATCAGCCCCTTCATTTCACTCGATGTTCTCAGTGTTACCGTTACTTTTATCCATCGTTGTTCCTTCAAAAGGCAAGGGGGCATCTCGCATCTCACACCCGGGCTTCTTCTCAACGAACTCTTGTAAACATTTGTACATAAGGGGAAGGATTGGACTGGAAGCGATTTTAAAAATGTAAAAGCATTTAATATATTAGCCCACATAACCCTGCTGTCCATCACTGATCTAGCTGGAGAACGTGTTTGTGAAGCAGCGACGGAGGGAGAGTCGCTGAGCCGTGAAGCGATCCTGTTTGATCCCATCCTCGTGATGCATCCGTCCTTTTTACGTGTCCGGTGTGACGTGCATCCGCATCTCATTATCGCAGAGCCACCCGTCTTTGTGTGTAAATAGTGTGTTTCATGAGAAGGAAAGCAGTCATGAAGTGTTTCAGTGCTGATTGGGCAACCCCCCCTCCCACACACACACACAGCACCTGGATGGGTTCTGACCAACACACACACACACACACACGTGTCTCCTCACCTCCAACCACAATCCCTATAAAACAGCTGCTGGCCTGTTCATCTCAGTGTCAACAGAAAGTGTTTCGACCGTGGAATTATGGTCTGCATGTGTCGCTCTTACCTTGTAGACTGTTAGGCGTTTACCACATCTACCCCGTCCGACCGAAAACAAGACGCATGAATATTAAACATCTACAGCCCGGTCACATCAGCAGCTCCTCCTGGGCCTGCTGGAAGCTGCTGCAGGCTGACTGGTGGGTCTAGCACGTCCTGCCTCAGCTGCTGCCAGTCATGGTGCACCCAGAGACCAATCAGAACGAGCAGAAAACGGCAATAATGAAGTTTGTCCAAATGAACACCGACGTATTTCTAGTTTGTTCCCATCTGATGTTGAGTGAGCGGCTAAGTTAGAGTCTTGGTTTATTAAATGTCTCCTTGTTTCAGAGTCATTTGGGTTCATCAGCGCCAGTGCAGGTCCATTTCAGAGCAGGTTCTGATTCATCTTCTGCAGGAACCAGTCCAGGTCAGGTCCAAAGGTCTGCCTGGTTTGGGTTCTTCACTGGTTTGTTGACACTAAGAGCAGAACAGGCTCCAGGATCTAATCTGGAAGGTTTTGGCCTCAGATCTGCTTTGCTGTTAACTTTGGACGTTCTCAGCATCTCTGTAGGAGAGGGGTGTCACATTGAGGGAAATCTAGTCCCAAGTGGGCCGGACCGGTGAATTACAAACAACTTCAGATTGTTTTCTTTGTTTTAGTACAATCAATATAAAACAAGGCTGGAGCCTGAGGACAGCGTATCCAAAATAGTACAACACCTGAAGTGTACTTGAAAATTTGAAAAAAGAAAAAAAAAATCTATAAATTCAAAAAACATTCCTTAGTGATTCAAAGAGCTTACAGATCACATGGCTAGATCAGTTTCATGCAGCACTTAAAGTGTATTTGACTCATTTTACTTTACATCTTTTAGCTTTCACCAGCACATCAACATCAGAAGTCACATCCTGAGTGGCGGCCAACTTCAGGATGTGATTCAAGTTCTTGTGTGAGCCTTGAGGGCAGCTTTGTTTTATTTATACTCATTACAGAGGAAACTTGCTCACAAAGATACGTTTATTTTCACTCTACATGGTAAAGTATGAAAATAAAGTTTACACAACCATCTCGCGGGCCGGATTTAACCCGTTTGTGGGCCAGATCCGGCCCGCGGGCCGCATGTTTGACACCCCTGCTGTAGGAGAACTACCATCAGGGCTTCAGTTAGCATGTCTGTTCCCTCATTCCCTTATTGCTGTCTGTTTGTGACCCCTGTGTACTCCAGCAGCAGAGGCTGAAGGTGGTGTGTGTGTGTGTTTTTAGAAGGGTTAAGCGTGTTCATGATCCTTGCATCAGTTTACTTTTAAGTGTAATCCAGAGGAAGAACAAGATCCAAAACACTTCATTGATTTGATAAATGAGCATCTTGTTTCCATGGTGATAACACTATTTACATTTTAACAGTGAACATATCTATGCGGGCATGTATGATCAGGTAATTACTAAAACATAAACCCAGAACGCTAACGAGGCCTAGCAGCTGCAGTGTGCACACACACAATAAAACTGTACATGTGTGAAAAGGGAAGTGGTCCTCGTGTCGTTCTTACCAGCAGCTGAATGGAGTCGCTCCCAGTCGTGTTAATGAATGATAAATGACCCGCACTTGTATAGCGCCTCTCAGAGTAAGGACTCCAAAGCGCTCTACACTACAGTGTACCATTCATCCATTCACACACTGATGGGGATGAGCTACGATGTAGCCACAGCTGCCCTGGGGCGCACTGACAGAGGCGAGGCTGCCGAGCACTGGCGCCACCGATCCCTCCGACCACCACCAGCAGGCAACGTGGGTTAAGTGTCTTGCCCAAGGACAACAGCAGAATTCTCTGTCCAGAGCCGGGATTGAACCTGCAACCTTCCGATTAGTGGACAACCCGCTCAACCTGTTGAGCTACTGCTGGGAGACGACAGGATGACAAGACCGAGGATTGTATTAAACATCCAGAGTTTTGGATGCGAGTTGTTGACTATCAGGCAGGTGTCTGACATTCTCCACGTCTACAAGACGCTGAGCTGAACAAATGGTAAATGGTCTGGATCTATACCACCCTTAGGGTTCGGATCTATACCACCCTTAGGGTTCGGATCTATACCACCCTTAGGGTTCGGATCTATACCACCCTTAGGGTTCGGATCTATACCACCCTTAGGGTTCGGATCTATACCACCCTTAGGGTTCGGATCTATACCACCCTTAGGGTTCGGATCTATACCACCCTTAGGGTTCGGATCTATACCACCCTTAGGGTTCGGATCTATACCACCCTTAGGGTTCGGATCTATACCACCCTTAGGGTTCTACAAATAAAACTTAGCAGAAAAATGTGCTCAACTTTACGTTGACTAAGGACCTGGCACACGCACAAGTTGGACATGGAGATCACCTGCAGTGCTGCTGCTGAGAAGGACAACATTATGAAATCCTGCAGCATTATCACTTGTACTGCTTCGTTTTCACACAGAACAAGACCCCCCCCCCCCCACACACACACACACAGCCTGAAGCCAGAATACGGAATGCAGAATATCAGCAGGGGGACAGATTGAGACAGAATGTCATGCGTCTGTGACAGTGTGTGTGTCCTGTCACTGTGACCTGATTGATGATGCGCCCTGGCTGCTTGTACAAGGGAGATCTCCAGTTGGGTGACTGGTTAGCGCGCGACTTTCACCCGGGAGTCTGGGGATCGAATCCGGATTGGACCATTTTTTTATATATCCGCCACAGATCTCTCTGAAGAACTCCGCATTGACGGCTTCAGCAACGTGGATTTTCACGGAGAAAAGATAATGTTCTCCCTGTAGCTACCCCACTCTGCCACGCCACACCACAGGTGCTCCAGCCCTCGACCCCTGGCATCATAACACCCAGTCGTTTCAATGCCGTGTGCTCTATGATGTCATGCCCCGTTGGAAGAACCAAAGTACTTCCCTTTCATGAATTCTCAGATCTGACTTTTTGCTTCTAGAGCCATCATAGCTGCAGCCTGCTGGTCATCCATGCAGCCAAGCTCCAAGTCCTCCTTCCATCTCTGCTTGGGTCCACCTACAGGTCCCAACATTGGAAGTGATGTTTAGGGAAAGCATAATTCAGGTTAGAACATAACTTTAGGACGTAGAAAGTGGTGTTGGAGCAGGGAAAACACACGGGTCCTGGACAACTAGTGTGTGAGACAAGCAGTATTTCCCATCATTTAGCCCCCCCCCCCCCCCAATGCAGTTTGGATACCAACCACAGAGGGGTGGATGATGCTGCATGAGACCCTCAGCCACCTGGAAAAGCCAAAGTCACATGTCAACCTGGTCTTTGTGGAATTTTCTAGTGCATTTAACACAGTCCAGCCACATCTTCTGGGACGTAAACCGCTGAATCTGAATGTTAACCCCCCCATCTCATCCTCTGGGTCCTCTTTCTCACGGGGAGGGAGCAGAGTCGGGGTTAACGGCCACCTCAGAACTGTCAGGTCACTCTCCATTGGTTCCCCACAAGGTTCAGTCATCTCTCCACTTAGCAGCACATACAACACCAACGATCTCAGGAAACACACAGATCTCCAGTCCCATTACACCCGGTTACCATCAGGTCGGCGGTTCCCTCCCAGTGAGGACAAAAAGGGCTTCCTCCAGCTTTCTTCACTCTTCAATCCGCCTGTTCCAGCACGCCACAGTAAAACTGACTGGGACCACATCCAGACTGAACTGAAATTCGTCGTCTTCCTCCGCTTATCCTGGTCCGGGTCGCGGGGGGAGCTCCAGACCGTCCTCTCCCCGGCCACCTCCACCAGCTCCTCCGGCAGGACCCCAAGGCGTTCCCGGACCAGATTGGAGATGTAACCTCTCCAACATGTCCTGGGTCGACCCGGGGGCCTCCTGCCGGCAGGACATGCCCGAAACACCTCCCCAGGGAGGCGTCCAGGAGGCATCCTGACCAGATGCCCAAACCACCTCAACTGACTCCTTTCGATCCGGAGGAGCAGCGGTTCTACTCCGAGTCCCTCCCGAATGTCCGAGCTCCTCACCCTATCTCTAAGGCTGAGCCCGGCCACCCTACGGAGGAAACTCATTTCGGCCGCTGAAATTCTTTTATTATTCCATTTTAAAATCATTTTAATGAAGCGTATGTAGGTGTGTGTTCTTTTCAACTGATTATATGTTTTTATGCTGCTTTTATGGACTGTGCTGTCTCCATCTGCGATCGAAGTTCCTAACGGATAAACGGTGAATTTAATGTAAAAAGTTGGGTTAGGAGGTAAACATGCAAACATTTATTGATCAGTTACAGAATCACTCCACGTTTATTTATGACTCGGTGGTGTTGCATGTCACGATTAAACGAGAACGAAAGAGAACGGCCGTTTGGCATAAATGTCATTTTATTTCAGATTTCCTTGAACACACACACTCGTCCCATCAGAACATTAAACACCAACATCCCATCAACCGTTTGTAAAGGTGAAAACAACGTATACGATGATGGTTTTCTAACTGAGCACAACTTTAACCCCCTTTCAGCCCCCCACCCCCCCTTCATGTAGCATAAAATAATTGCGCAACATGTTTAGACCAATGGTGACGGTGCTTATTTATCCAGCTAAAACTCCGGTTCCCACAGAAAAACTCAGAAAGTGGATGTTTGATGCGACGGATTCTGCTGTTTCATTGGCAAGCACCAGTTCACCCCACCGAAAAGGAGGGAATCAGATAAAACTGAGGGAGAAGCATCAATATCGCAATATAAAACGTAAACATCAAAGAACCAATAAAATTCACATCATTCCCTCCTGGTGTGAAAAAAGGACTCAGAATGGCCTCTAAGGCTGCTGTGACGATGGAACGAGCGCACACTCACACACACACACACACACACACGCACACCTGCAAAACGCCAAGTAAACGTGTTGCCAGCAGCAAACCGAAGAAGAGAGATCTCAACTCGTGGATGCTGTTGGAGAGCAAGCAAAAAGAAGAAAATACACCAAATTACTGAAACCTGATCTCACGGAAACAAAGCTAGCCTGTCTGTGCGGAAATACGTGGAAGCTCTGGAGAGTAAAAAGCAAAGGTGATACATCGGTCACTGGGCCTAAAGGCGATTACCTCACAACAGCTGATAAAGTCACACGTTACACCAGCCTAGAAAAATAAACAATAAGTTCCTTCTATTAAAACATACAAATCTAAACAAAGTCAAAGAAAACCTGATAAAAGCTGCTGAGACGAACGTCACGTGTTCTCACTACAAGCCAACGTCCCTCGTGTCACTCCTGTTGGCCGTCACACATGCACAATATGTCCAACAGCAGCAAACATGTAAACAACACACTGAGGGCGGAGCTCTAGCAGAGGAGGGCAGGGATTGGCCATGTGGTAGGCGGGGTCTGGTCAGCTGTAGTGGAAGAAGGTCGTCTCAGCTGGAACACAAACCAAATCACAACGTTTGCCTCATTAGTTGTTCGGCGCCAAGCGTTTCGATCTGAAGCAGGAGGGCTCGTACTTGGTGGGAACCGTGGGGGAGCCCGAGCGGTGCAGGTGGATGTTCTGCCACTTGCCGTCGCGGCGGTGCCAGATGCGCGTCTCCTCGGACTGCATGGTGCGAGGCATGCCGTTGCTGTCCATGTACTGAGTGAGGCGGATGTAGGCGATGCAGGCGGCCTCGTCTCCGATCAGGTGGACATGAGGGTTGAGTAGGATGGTGTGGATGTGTAGCTTCGCTTTAGACAGAGCTGCAGAGAAAAATAAAAGCATCCAACCTCATCTCAGAGTGGTCTGGTCCTGGGATGCAGCTAGACAAGGAGTTTTCCTTTAGGGAAAACTCATCCATGCACTGCCTTCTCAGTGGCCTAGTGGAGAGCGTCCTTCTTGGGACGGGGAGATCATGGTTCAAGCCCCAGTCAGGTCATACCAAACACTTTAAAATGGGACCCAGTGCCTCCCCACTTGTCACCCAGCTTTAAGGGGCTGGATTGGGGCTTAAACCACCAAACAGTTCCCGAGGCAGCTCACCGCTCCCCATAGGTATGGGTCAAATACGGAGATGATTTCACCCGTGTGTCAGAGACGACGAGACTTTACTTTCATCACTTATTAGACTGCTGGAGGGCATACTGACCACATGTCCTCACTACTGGTGTTCTCCATGTTTGGGTTTACAGCCTAAACCAACAACGCATCCACTACATCCTAAGGCTGCCTCCATGTGGTGGCAGTGCACAATAACATGTTCATAGTACTCCAGCCCAGTATAGACCCAACCTTTAGTACAGCAGTTAGACACTAGAACTGATTAACGGCTATTTACCGTTCTCAAAGTAGAAGCGATGGAAATCGGTGCCCTCAACCAAGTTGCCCAAAGCTTCAGGCTCAAAGGACGTGATACCTGGATCGCATATCTTCCTGAAATGAAACATCAAGCCACGTTGTCAGAGTCAGACTAAGATGTGACCCCCTAGTAACCAGTGTTGGGCAAGTTACTTCAAAACTGTAATGCATTATTTATTACTTGTTACCCTCGTTTTAAAGTAATTCATTACATTATAATATTACTGATTTTAAAATGTAAGGCATTACACTACTTTTGCATTACTCTAAGTTACTTTCAACAAAACAACTTCAGTATGAGTTTGGTAATCTGATGCCTGGTGAACTCATGACACATCCGGTGGAAGGTGATGTGGTGTCTGAGCTAGGACTGCTGTTAAAAACAGTTCTTTAGAAGGATTGTTTATTAAATAAAAGCAACAACAAACTGTACTCTCAGCACGCTGCCATCTTAGATTAACTGAGCGGCGAGTGAGGTGGTGGGGGCTCCAAGTCTATTTGCCTTGGTCCCCAAATGCCTTGATACGGCCCTGGATGTGGGACTGACTTCTGGGGTGATCTGATTCTATCACATGTATAAATATTAAATGCTTATATATTATTGCTTTTCACTGGTAAAAATGTGTATTGGGGATAAATCTACCTACTTTTTTTCTTTTCAAGCACTTTGTTTTGTTTTCTTGATTTTATTTGAATAATTTCCGGCCCTTTCTCTCTCTAACCTTCCTGCATGCTGCATGTTTTCTCCGTCTTCCAGAAAACCCGTTTCCTAGACTTCCTACTTTCTAACGATCAGCCAGAGGGATCTTCACATGTGCGGCGCTCCAGCAGAGTTGAAATCACCGGAGCTCAGATTAACTCAGCTGAGGCAAAGCACGTCAGAAAAGTACAGAATACCAGAGAACATGCGCTGATATGAACGATCGCAGGTGAATTATTTTGTTTTAGTGGAGCGATTTTGTGAATGTTGCAGCGGCCGTGTGGAGGACGCAGCTGGAGTAGTTGAGCCGTTACCGCGGCGTCCTCTCTGCCCGCAAAGCTGAGTCCATAAATGACGTAATATATGCAGATACTGGATCTTTTTTCGGGTTTCCCGCAATTTGAATTTTTAAGAAACGCATCTTGATTCTGGGTTTAAAAATGCATTGTAGTTACCGCATTACTGACAATTGTACCGAGTAAATATTACCATTTTCTTTCCCTGTAATGCCTTACATTACCACATTACAGCAAAAAGCAATGCATTACAGTAATTAATTACTTTTGTATCGCGTTACTCCCAACACTGCTAGTAACTCAGGAACTTACGTGTACGCCTCAAAGTCTCCATTGTTGATGGCCTCGATCAGCTGTTCTGTCACCTTGATGATCTCCTGTTTACGAGCTGCAAGAAAGACAAGAGGTCAACTCCCAGCTGCCCTAGTTACCGTTTGCATTAATGAGTGTGACTGAAGGAAAGCAGTGAACCAAAACCACAGCACAACAATGTTAGGGGCTGAGGTTCACACCAACATGGAGCTGGATGGTTGGTTCCAACACAACATCAACAGTACCTTTCATGCTAGGGTGGTAAGCTAGAAAAGAACGGATGCAGACATTAGGTGCCGCTGTTGTGGGCACCGTTTCAGCACGGAGACAACACCGAGAAGTGTTCTTACTCACACAGCCGCTCCCTTACATCCGTTTACCTTCAACAGCTTCAGATCCAGTGTTGTTCCCAGCTAACTGAGCACTGACAGCCTGCTGACTGCACACCAGCCACTGAAGTGAGGACATAACCCTAACCAGTAACGAGTAAACCACGCTTCCGTCTTGGTGCCGGAGCACACAGACCCACTAAAGAGGACACAAACTAAAACCATCACTGACTGGTTCAGCACCGAGTGGACTTTACGTCGCAGAGATACTCGAGATAAGAAACCCAAAAACCTGCCAGTTGCTTCATGGCTGCTCTTTTTGTTTTGGGACAAAACTTTTGAAAACTTCTAACATTAAGCTGAAGGAATCTAACAGGAGGCAGAATGTGAGCGATCATCTCATTGGTGGAGCTGGGACACACGCTCTCATGTTACAAACAGCAGCTCCAGCGTCTAGCCAAAAGGAAGAAATGGTCTTATTTCACACAAAAAGGAAATAAAGTTCAAGAACTTTCTCATTTTAAGATCGATATCTTTTGATTTCATAGTGGAAAACGCCTCAAGTCCAAAGTTTCTGTTTTCTTCATAAGATAAGATAAGAACAACTTTGTTTATCCCGAGGGAAATTGTTGTCATGTACATGCTCAAAGCTTCATGTGTCATTTGGTGCTTTCAGATACTTTTCTTCACTTTGAGGTTTGGTTTAAGCCTGATCACCGATTCACGTCATTTGAAACGGTGCCTCGTTTCGGTACCCGTCCTTCATAATGAGAACTTGCCTAGACAGCTGCGCATGCACAAGAGCGTTATGTCGTCGGTCGCTGCGAGCCAGTTGTAAACAGAGCAGCATGGTAGAAAGAACACACGCTAAAGCTTGGGTCCACTTCACTAAATGTGATGGGTAACTGGGTGATGATGAAACCAGCGACAACGATCTAAGTGAGACATCCTCATCTTAATTGCTCCGGTAGGTAAATAAAATGTTTAAGATAACGTTAGCTTGATATGTTAGCTTCCGTTCTGCTAATGGTGCGTTCGCTTTCTCCTCGGAACTCTGAATTTCCGACTAGAAGAACATAAACGCGCTCTAAAGTTTGGCTTCACTTTACTAAATGCGACGGGTGATTGGGTGAAGATGAAACCAGCGACAACGATCTAAGTGTGAGGCATCATCGTTTTAATCTGCTCCAGCAGCTAAATAAAATGTTTAAGATAACGTTAGCTTGATATGTTAGCTTCAGTTCCCCTAATGGTGCGTTCGCTTTCTCCTCGGAACTCTGAATTTCCGACTAGAAGAACATAAACGCACGCTAAAGTTTGGCTTCACTTTACTAAATGCGACGGGTGATTGGGTGAAGATGAAACCAGCGACAACGATCTAAGTGTGAGGCATCATCGTTTTAATCTGCTCCAGCAGCTAAATAAACTGTTTAAGATAACGTTAGCTTGATATGTTAGCTTCCATTGCCGCCATTGTTATCAGCTAATGGTGCGTTCGCTTTCTCCTCGGAAATTCTAACTTCCCAGTAGGAAAAATCAAATGAAAAAGGACGGCAAAAGGAATGAAGATACACAGTAAATTTAGTTCATAGTAAAGATGTTTGCTTCAGTTTAATTATCAGCTTATAAAACTACAAGGACGATGTTAACTCATTCACTGCCAGCCGTTTCCTGATCACTAACGGCCTTCGCTGCCAGCGTTTCTCACCGTTTTTACTGTTTCTTTAAGAGTCACAGAACGTTGCCCGCGAGCATGATGTCGATGCCAAAACAACCAAAACAAAGAGGAGACTCACCTCTTACATCAGGAAGAAGCCGTGTGTTTCGAGCGTTATCCGTTCTTTCATAATCCGTTGTCGAATTGTGATCGGCAGATGCTTTTCCGGTTCGCGCCTCACTTTTTTTACAGGAACGGCCCAAAACGATCTCCAAACACATGGATGTGTTGCTTCCTGATCATGTGATCTGTGACGTATGCGGATGAAGATCGGCTTCAGGGCTGAGATGTTTGTTCTCTCAGCGCGGGGGCTCGTTCCGATGGTCAAACAGTAAAAAAAATGCAAATGACGACTTTAGTCGTCAATGGCAGTGAATGAGTTAAAATACAAACAGTTGTATGTTATTTATCATGATATTTGGTACCGTTAAGTACCGGATCGATTCAAATGTCAAAGGTACCCATCCCTACTTAGGGGTGACCTAATATGTTTGAGCATGCAAGTATAATCTGAACCCAGCTTCAAAATCCTGCCCCTGATGTCCTCGTGAACTTCTAACAACTAGTGTCCTGCTCTAAAGCTTACAGCTTCCTCCCAGCTACACTTTGAACACTTACAGTGGGAGTCGGTGGGGCCCTGGGTGGGCAGGGGCGCTCTGTGCTGGGGGCCAGCGCCCTGAGTGGGGGTGAAACAGTTGCATGTGGTAGAATGGTCAGAGAAAAAGAGCATGAAGAAAGATGTGAAGAAGAGGAGAAGGTAGTCAGCCATCAGTGCCCACAGGATGTATTTGCTGCACTCCTCAGCACTGGGCCAAGCACTAAGAGAATACCAGCAGGTGGAGGAAGAGGAGGACGAGGAGGACATCAATAAGGAGGTTGAGGGCTGCTTAGGGGCTGTGTATTCTGGTTGCTTTAGGTGGTAGGTGTGGTGTCTGGATGGAGGACAATGTGCTGGGATGGAAAACAGATGAACAGGGTGGAGGAATAAAAACAAAACATGAAAACAATGGCACATGCAATGTGAATTTCCTCAGAGCTCATCGCTTTTCCAGCAGCTAAAAACAAATCCCAGGTGTGAATGAGACAGATGCAGACAAATGCACGGGTACCAAAAGACTAAATGCCATTAATAAACAGTTAGTGCAATTTAACCAATCAGACGCCATTTAGAAAAGTGGTTAAAATTAGTTTTGGGCGGTATACCGGTTCATACCGAAAACCGGTGTTTATTTTGGTTATGATATGAATTTTTCATGTATCGCTATACCGGTGAAAGGCCTAGACAACGTACAGAACGTTCATAGTAGGAAAGTGTTTCAGTGGGGACTCGTTTCACTGCTACACACAAACCCCACAGGGTGGTGAAACCAAGAATGGCACCAAGAATGGCGGCTGGCGGGAGCTGTCACGGCGACATCGAAACTTCGAACGCAGAAGAACTTAATCCAAAAAGAGGAGCCTTATCTGTTGTTTGGAGGTATTTCGGGTTTAAAAGTTCGGGCGTGGAGCAATCAACTTTTATATGCAAATGCTGTCGAGCAACGGTGGCAGCCGGTGGGGGTAACACCAGCAACTTGCTTCATCACCTCAGCCGAAAACACGTCTTGGAATACCAAGGATGTCTCAAGCTTCGATCTGCACCCTCCACCTCCGAGGCTAAAACGGCTAGCAGTCAGAGTCAGACGTCCATTAAAGACGCGTTCGCTAAAGGGACTGTTTATAAAAAAGAGCAAGCGGTGGGTCGAGATAACCAACGCAATAACGTTGGATGTGAAATCATAAAGATGGTTAACTGCACAGATTACATGCAAATTGTGTTCAATAAAAATAGTTGATTTTGACTGCAATATTTTATCTTTCTAGTGGTTTTTTCTTAACTGCTTTCTTTTGACAAGGGTACTTTGAGGGGGTTTCTGCGTTTACCTACCTGTGACTGGACATGGAAAAACTGGTATTCGGCTCATGAAGGTAAACTGGCCAATCTAGTGCAGCAATTATTTTCTTATAGAAATAATCTGGGAAATCACGGCCTTGTGAAAAATACCGTCAAATACCGTAAAATCGATATAATCAAAAATAAACCGTGATATGAACGTTTTGCCATACCGCCCAGGTCTAGTTAAAATAAAGTTAAAAACATTTACATTCTTAGGGAGAGAATACCAACTTTTATCTGCAAACCATCAGGATTAATAACTAAAGATGTCACAGCAAAAGCAACACCAGTGATAGATGAACACATAAAACCTGACTGTGTGCCTAAATGCACAAATAAGGTTCATTAAAAAGAAACCATTTGGATTTGATTACGAATCACTCCCTACACAGTAAACCAGACATCTGACAAGCAACCATTAGATGCTTCTCTACTTCAGCCCACCTCATTCATTCATTTACCACATCAGCATGTCACCAAGTTCAGTAAATATCTGTTTTCAGCCCGTTCATTTAGCCCAGGTGTGCTGAAGCAGTAAACATCTGGACCTGACCACCTCTGACACAGAGCTGGCTCCATTTGGACGAGTTTACAACTCAAAGTTCGACTTAGAAGAAGATGAAGAAAATATAATTTCTATAGCGCCTCTCAACATAAAAATCACGAGGCGCTTCACAAAAACAAAAAAATGTAAAAACATTAAAAAAAAAGAATTTAGAAAATGTTTAAAAATATATTTAAAATGAGCAAAAATAGACAATTGTGATTAAAAAACAAAATGTTAAGAAAGAGAGAGAGTGAACAGGAAAGAGGGAAATCAGTGGATCCTGAGGAAGGTGGAATAGGTGGGGAGAGCCGAATAAAGAGAGAGAGGTGAAGAAGGTCATACAAAAGCCAGCTTGAACAAGTGAGTCTTCAGCTGCTTTTTAAAGGAGACCACTGAGTCCACTGATCTCAGGCTCAGGGGGAGAGAGTTCCAGAGTCTGGGGGCCACAGCAGCAAATGATCTGTCACCTTTGGTCTTTAGCCTGGTGCTGCACAACCAGTAGGCTTTGGTCACTGGACCTCAGGGACCTGCTGGGGGTGTAGGGACT